TTCTCCCCAATCTTACTCCGACTGATGACCTGCCCCCGTTTTCAGCATGCTATTGGATACCATATCTCGCTATTCAGAATTTGCATCCTCCTCACCCGAAGCAAGCGATTCCTATAGTGATCATTCCATGAGCGATATTGAAGATGGTATGTTGATCCTGCCACCAACAACCCTTTTGCAAATTATTTTTGTTTTTTGACTTGCTTTCTTTTCCAGTACCACATGTGCCTGTCAATAAGCCACTAATAACTCCTCTCACTGCTGTCGTTCGCGGTGCCAGTCATGCTTTGGAAACCACTCTAGCTACGCCGTCAACATCTAGACCAGTACCGTCCTCTGCAAAACCAAAGCGCATGCGCAAAGGCCCTGTGGCTGTCAAAGTTCGCAGAATACAGCCTTTGGAACGAGATCCAATCACAAACGACTACAAGTTACCAGCACGAATCGGTATTCTGACTGTGCATGCCCTTGGCCATATTGTATGGCAGTACGACACTTATCACAATGATCGTTATATTTGGCCTGTTGGCTTTTGCGTGAGCAGGTGAGCAGCGCTACCTTTTTCCCCTGGTTGTCTTTTGCTGCCTTGCCCTGTCACTAACCCTCCCTCCCTCCCGCCCATCCGTAGAACCTATCTCAGCATGTCGAATCGTGATGTCAATACCAACTATGTGTGCAGCATCCTCGACGGTGGCGAGACTGGCCCAAAGGTAGGTTTTACAGGAAATTTCCATTGTCTCTCCATCCCGCTCTCCCTGTCACTTATATCAGTTGCTTCATATAGTATCACGTCGTGGCAGACGACGCTCCAAACGACCCAATCATCGCCAATTCCGCTACTGGAGCATGGACCGTCATTGTCAGAAGAGCAAACGAAATTCGAGAAAGAGAGCATTCTAATTCAGGTGAGTTGGGTTCGGCAGCTAAATTAAAGCACTCACTGTCCGTCTTACCCATCCCCTACTACAGCTTCTGGCCCAGATTATTACGGATTGACACATCCAACTATAGCCAAGATGATCCAAGATCTTCCAAATGCGGACAAGTGCAGAAACTATGTGTGGCAGGAATTTGAAGTCATGCAAGAACGCACTGCCGCAGGTGTGGCAGCAGCCGCACAGAAGAAACTGGAAAACCTAGTCAAAATGGGCTCAGCCAACAAAAAACCACCAGGCTCAGCTCCAGGAAGAACTAGAAAATCCAAATATGCAAAAGGTGGCCTACGAGTGCAAGCCCATAGTCCAGAGGACTTTTCAAGACAAAATGAAGGCTCTCAAACTCCTCTGGAAGAATCCAAGATGGATTCCGTCGATATGCTGGAATCCTCTTTACATCCAAATCATTCTCCTACTGACTATGCCCCCATCAAAGTCGCTGACTTGCAAGTACCTGACAACCACGCAGCAGCCAATTAGACTCGTTACGCCTGCATACCTTTTATGGCGAACCCTTGTCCACGGAACCTTGGGACCCACAAATCCTTGTTTTGTTTTCTTGCTTTTTTCTCGTTCATCATTGTGCACTGTTTATACGCTGGCATTGTTTAAAGTACGGCCGTTTTTCCGGTTGTGGGATTTGTAGAGGACTTGTTTAACTGTTTTTACCTTGATTTCGTTCCTTTTTTTTTTTTTCATTCATATGGCGCACATACACCACCACGCAAAACACTTTGTCTTTTTTTCTTTTTTTCTTTTCCATACTATGCTCGCTTACGTTGCATATATTGTAGGATCCTTTTTGGACGAAAAAGAAAATAAAAAAGAAAATAAAAATGCATTTTCGTCCCCCCCCCCAATGTAACGTGTTTGTGCGCAGATTTTTGTAAGTAAGCATCACACGCCACTCGCTATGGGTACCGCTCTGGAACCATAGAAGCAGAGTTTTTTGCGTTGGATTTGCTGGAATATGATTATTTGAATGTCAAAATCTTTTTTTTTGTATTGAACCATGACAGAGCTTGCTATGCTCCATGTTGATCTTTTTTTATTTTTTGCTTTTTTTTTATGTTGGCCACAACTTTTTTAACTGTATACAAGGGCATCCATAATGTTTTGCGGGAATAATAGAAGCAGGAAATTTGCGTTGGATTCACGGGAATATGATTTTTGAATGTCTAATAAGTCTTTTTGGTTTCTATTGAACCTTGACGGATCTTGCCCTATGATCCATGTTTGATCTTGAGTTTCATATTTTCACAATCTTTTTGACTGTATTCCAGGGTTATCATAATGTTTTGCAGTTAATATATTAGGATGATGGGATTTTATAATTAATACCTGGAGGGTATTAACTATGATTCGTGATAGTATTTTAACTCTATTAACAACTATCCACCGTTTTCCTGTACAGTTATTTTGTATGGGGTGTTGACACTATTTCACTACAAGGTACTCGACATGTTCGCGGTCCTCACGCCAAGAAACATCTCTCCTACGCATATCCCATTACCCCGCAAAGTACATCTCGTAGTTCACACGGCACGTCCTCTTGTACATACTAGACAGGCACTACACACATCTCGTTGCACACACTAGACACTGCACATCATTTTGTACACCACACGAACCATACATCTCCTTGCACATACCTGGCAACTGCACACACCGTGTTATAAAAACCACATCCTACACATAGCTAGTACCCCCTCACACACTTTACAACACACTCAATAAAAGATTCTTGGTAGCTTTTAAACTATTATATTCGAAAAACTGGTGCTGTTGCTGTTGCTACAATAGCAATGTCTACTGTGAGCGTCTATGGTTCAAAACGTGTGAATAATGTTACAATGATGGTATGCAAAATGAAACGGGGGAGATACAAAGCGGAAAATAATCAAGAATATACTAGTTTGGTACTATAGAATGGTACGATGGAAAAACATAAAAAAAGGGGGCAACAAGCAATGTCCTACGCCTTGTATGCCATCATGGCTCAAAAGTCAGATCACAATGGGCTAGGCCGCCAAATCTAGGCAATCAAAGGTTGAAATGCAAAAGGATGTTGAGAGTATGAAGACGGATCCACCTTGTTGTGTTGACAGTAACTTGTGCCATCCACGCGGTCATACATACATAATGCGTCAATCCGGCTGGCATAAGGAGTATCCACAAAACATCCAGAGCTAACGGCTGATTCGCTTTCATTAACAAGCTCTGGTACAGCGTCATCGTCAATGTCGATGTGAAGTTTTCTTTCCTTCTTGTAAACACCTCTTGCCACAGCATCAGCTTCATAGTCAAAGCTGGGATCTATGTCTTCTGGCTCTTCTGTGAATACGCCAAGTTCGGGGCAGAACATGGAAATCTCCGGCTCCAATATTTGGCCCTCTCCATTAGAGCAGCAGTTGGTAAATTCAGGCGCCAGAACAGATAAAATGGCTAGATCCGCTGTGCCATCATCAGTCTTGTATTCTTGTTCTTCAGCATTACACGACTCTAGCTCTTCGTCAGGCGTCAGTTGAAGGAATGTAAATCCAAATAGTTGCTCAAACGAATCAGAGGTAGTCATTGTAGAGTGTTTGAACAAAAAGTGTGTGAATGGATGAGAGATTTATAGCTTTTTGATCATTTACAGATCAAAGCTTTAATGTTTAGTGAATGCAAAAAAAAAAAAAAGGCCTCAGCTATTTTAATATGAGTTATTCCCTCATCCAACGGTTTTAAACTTCCTCCGAGATTTCCCGATCCACTCAAAAAAGTTCTCACTAGCCTAAAGGCCTGGTAATTTTGTACTCTGGCAGGTCTTGAACATGGGCTTAAAAGTCAAGTCGATCCTTTTCTTGGTCAATAATCGATGACGCATATACACGTATATCATGGCGAAAATTCTCATGTCTTGATCATATATGACATTGTCATTTCAAACACTTTCGCACAAAAGGCATGATAGTGTTGCTGGAATTTTTTTTACACTGCGATACCTCCCTAAAAGCATCAAATGTATTAACCACTATATCAACCCTTTATCAAAATTAACTCCGCCATTAATAAAACCCTGGCCTTACATGTTTCAACTTGTTAATATAATCGATTATTAGTCCGCCAAGAGTGCCAATTTGCGGCATATTTTTTATAGGACAAGTCAGTGTATGTCCAATAGTCCAGTCGGAAAAAAAATGCTCATGAGTCAGGATTCTTGAGGTTGGAGCCACCCTATCCTAGGTCACGTCAAAATCTTGTTGTTCTCCCAGCACACTGGCGAGACAAAGCCTTGAATCAATCAAGGACTGCCATTTATCACTATACAGTATTGCACTTCAACCGTAAGTTGGAAGAAACAAACCCATTTTCCACATTTTCAATTACATTATGGTTCTGGCAGAAATACCAGGAAAAAAGTACTATAGAAATTATCACACCCTTTTTTATTGTTTCAAACAGACGTTGCATTTTTTTTTCTTTATCTACACATCGTTACGCCACCTGAGCGAATTATCTGCTCAAATTATAGTATCTTGGTCAGGACCATTTCAGACAACGCTTCCATAAAATTCATTTTTCAATCTGAATGGTCGATAATCGCCCAGTAATTCCAAACTAGTCATCAGTCCTCCAATTATATTGTCATTGAAAATTAGCTGGCAGTCACGAAAATGTTTTTGTCAAATTTCAAGGATTCTTTTTGATCCAAGCCTTTCTACAGTATAATCATTTGCGGCTATTTGCACTAATATGTGTTGCGGACTTTGAAGCGGAGCCTTGCCATCCATGATAACCACGTCATAAATTAAAAATACGCAAAAACTACTCAGTTCCTTAGTTCTACGAAACAAAACTGATTAAAGATCATTCTTGCCACAATATAATACCTTGCTGCAATTTTATCTTGTAAGTAATATTATGAACAATTAGTCGTAATTATCTAATTAAAAATTATAATAGACCTATCTTTACAACTATCACATGGTCGATCCAGCGTCAAGAAAATCTTGAATAGCTTACTTGTAATCTCGCCGGCTCAGCAGCTGAGAGGTAACCAGTTCGGTATCGAGAGACCAAGCTCCTTTAGATGAGTTGGTTACATCATCTGCTTTACACGCAGAAGGTCACCAGTTCGATCCTGGTAGGGGGCAACTTTTTTATTGGTTGAAATTTTTACCAAGCGTTTTGTCGCTTTCTATTTTATATGTTAATGGTAATGTCCTGCAAACGAGTGAACTTCTCGTGAGGTCCAATCCTCCCTTCTTTATTCATGTCTTCTGTTTTTCTTTTATACTTTCTTAAAGTGACTGATTATACAAAATTATTCTGAACGTGACTATTCCAAAGTGGTGTCATCGGTATGTATATCTTCCTCCATATTCTCCTGAACTAAATCCAATTGAGCAGTTCTGGTCAGTCGTCAAGAGCAAAGTGAAGAGAAACAAATTCTTGGAAAAAGAAACACTTCTGACTAGAATTGCTGAAGCATGCGACAGTTTATATTTGAGTGACTTCAGAGGCTTCGTTTCTCATTCTGCTAAATACTTCAGTAAATGTCTCAACAAGGAGAAGCTGTAACCGCCTCACTCCCACTATCAAACCAAAAAAAAAAAAAACATTACAAGGATATGAATATTTAATGCAAGTGGTGAAAGATGAAAAAAAAAAGCTGGTGAAAGATCCTCAGCCAAAATTGGCTGACAAGCGGTGAAAGATGAAAAAAAAGGCTGGTGAAAGATCCTCAGCCAAATTGGCTGACAAGTGGTGAAAGATGAAATAAAAAAAGGCTGGTGAAAGATCCTCAGCCAAAATTGGCTGACAAGCGGTGAAAGATGAAAAAAAAGGCGATGAAAGATCCTCAGCCCCTTCTTTTCGTTTGTTTACTGCTGCGTGACCAATTCAACAATCAATAACCATGACAATTGAAGAAAATTCTGCAACCATGACAACTGAAGAAGAGACAGCAAGCAAGGAAATATGCAGTGATCGTCTGGATTCTTTTGAATGTTCACTTTGCCAAATCGCCCAATTCAACAATCAATAACCATGACAATTGAAGAAAATTCTGCAACCATGACAACTGAAGAAGAGACAGCAAGCAAGAAAATATGCAGCGATCGTCTGGATTCTTTTGAATGTTCACTTTGCCAAATCGCCTTCAATGATCGCAATGCTCTTTACGGACATCGACGACGGAAACATGTCTTGGAAACAAACGTGACTCTTGGTGAATGTAAGTTAAAGATTGTTTCTTGGAAGCAGCAGGATCTTACATGTTTTACATAATTGTCAGATGTGATACGCGTCCCTCTCTTGACTGGCCATTTCAAATGTCCCTTAGCAAGCTGTGACACGCGATCTAAAAGTGTGGACACCTTTAAAAAGCATATGGGTTCGTGTCACAATGCAGAAGTTCAAGTTGCAATGTACGACAATGAACACGATCAAGTACGGAAAAAAAGGAAAATGATGTCTCCTTCGTTCGATCTCATAACCGGCAGCCGTCTTGCCCTTGCCAGCAACGAGCAAACAGCTTATCATCACACTATGGCCATCAATTGTTCACCTATAGCAATGCATTTGAAACATCACAGTCTAACTTCAAGCATTTCCGCCCATGCCCTCATACGAAAAGAATTTATACTGGACGTTGTTGCCAAAATTCCATTTCAAGACAATTGCTTCTCTGAATCACTGGAATGTGTCTTACAGTTGCATGATGAGAATGGCCAAGGTGTACAATCGCCTACGGAACCAAGTATTGCCAGGAATCACGTATATGTTGAAAAGTCTATTGCTTCATCAAGACTTCCAAGGCTTATCGACACATTTGCTTTCACCGAACCAACAACAGAGCTCATTGAATGTCTCAACTTGGATTTTCGAATTTCGCCTTCACTATTGCATGCAGTAGCTGTGCTCCATACTGGTTGCATTATTGTTGACGAATACAATCTGGTCTTCACGTTGACTGCTGAAGTATACAGCAGGTCAAAATCATTGGATGCTCATGGGGAAACAAATCTTAAATCCATTCCTTTACCCAGCAATTCAACTTACGATGGCCTTGCAATTGGAATCTACGAAGAATCTTACGGAGGTGCAGCGAAAAGGAAATTGAAAATCGGCTCCAAATCGATGAATGTTCTTATCACCATGCTGACCGACGTCCCCAAGAATGAAGTCTCAATTGGCCCGGAAACTTCTCTCAGCTTGAACAGTTCAAAGACACGCATATTTTATGACGATGCAAAGTTGAACGAGTTCATTCGCTTATCAAAAAATCAGCAGACGGAAACACACAATTATCCGTTGTGTGTTTCGTCCATGCGACAACTGACATCTGGATTTGACAAAACCAGTACTTATGCTCTTTGGCGAGCGACGCTCCCCGGATTCGACAATGATTTGTTGCAACCAGCGACTGTGTTCACGGTCACTGATCTTCCTGGAAACCAAGGTTACGGACATGGCGACAAATCGATTATCAAAACGGCCAGTTCCCTTTTACAAATTGTTGCCATTGCAGTATTGAAAAAGTGTTCAGTACATAATCATGACATGCAGCGCTTTGAGAGCCGAATGCAGCAACATGAAGAAGTCTCTATATTGTTACAGCATTTACAAACCCAAGTCACGAGTGATCCTTTGGCACTAAGCAGATTTTTGCTTCCGCTTTGCAAACATGCATCTCAAGGTTTGCCGAAAGCCAACCAAAAAATCAAGAACAACGTTGAGGAGAAATTGCTCGAATTGTTTGGTTGTCGCGAAAAAGACTCCTAAAAGCTTGAACTTTCAATCAATGTCTAGTCAGAATGCCAGTTTAAAAATACCAAGGATATCAGTTTGAATAACGAAATCAATAAATCTTGTGGATTTTCCATTTTGAATACGAATACCCAAAAAAATCTTGGAGAAAATTAGCCGCATGATGCATCACAAGGAGCAAACGTTTTTTATTTTCACCATGTGAAAAATCCTTCACCACTTGTCAGCCAATTTGGCTGAGGATCTTTCACCAGCCTTTTTTTTTCATCTTTCACCACTTGTCAGCCAATTTGGCTGAGGATCTTTTACCAGCCTTTTTTTTCATCTTTCACCGCTTGTCAGCCAATTTTGGCTGAGGATCTTTCACCAGCTTTTTTTTTTCATCTTTCACCACTTGTCAGCCAATTTGGCTGAGGATCTTTCACCAGCCTTTTTTTTCATCTTTCACCGCTTGTCAGCCAATTTGGCTGAGGATCTTTCACCAGCCTTTTTTTTTCATCTTTCACCACTTGTCAGCCAATTTGGCTGAGGATCTTTTACCAGCCTTTTTTTCATCTTTCATCGCTCATCAGCCAATTTGGCTGAGGATCTTTCACCAGCCTTTTTTTCATCTTTCACCGCTTGTTAGCCAATTTTGGCTGAGGATCTTTCACCAGCCTTTTTTTATTTCATCTTTCACCGCTTGTCAGCGAATTTTGGCTGAGGATCTTTCACCAGCCTTTTTTTATTTCATCTTTCACCACTTATCAGCCAATTTGGCTGAGGATCTTTCACTGCCTTTTTTTTTATCTTTCACCACTTGCATTAAATATTCATATCCTTGTAATGTTTTTTTTTTTTTTTGGTTTGATAGTGGGAGTGAGGCGGTTACAGCTTCTCCTTGTTGAGACATTTACTGAAGTATTTAGCAGAATGAGAAACGAAGCCTCTGAAGTCACTCAAATATAAACTGTCGCATGCTTCAGCAATTCTAGTCAGAAGTGTTTCTTTTTCCAAGAATTTGTTTCTCTTCACTTTGCTCTTGACGACTGACCAGAACTGCTCAATTGGATTTAGTTCAGGAGAATATGGAGGAAGATATACATACCGATATCCTCGTGAATGGATATACTTTCCTATATCAGTTGAGCTATGAATAGGAGCGTTATCCATGACAAGGTAATGTCCCTTCATTTCTGGATACCTGTCCATTTCATCAAGCGTAGCCTTCACAAAACTCAAATAATACCCTGTCACTGTTCCTGTACTATAACCATCAGTTGAACGTCCTAGCTTTCTCTTTTTGATTCGTTTTGGGACTCTCAAACTAACATTAATTAATCCAGAGGCGGATATTGCACCCAAAATTGATGTTGTGTTTGCTTTAGTCGTAGGGACTGTAACTATTGCAGGAGTTCCCTTCCTTGACCAAGCCATACCTCGTGTCAAATTAATATGAAAGGCTGATTCATCCAGAAAGACACAATTTGTTGTAAAGTCCAAGTCAGTTTGCTGCCACTTTTGGACCCAATCGTACCTTTGCTGAAGTTTTTCTTTACTGTTTCTTTCTACAGAATGGAACTGCGCCTGCTTAATGGATAGATTGCACTGCGTTGTCATGAAGTTATAAACAGTACTACGAGAAACATTAAGATCTACAAACTTTTGCGTTAGACTTCCTACCACTTCAGTTCAAACAGCAGAAGGATTCTCATCAATGTAATCTAAGATAAATTGTTTATGCTCCTCCCTAAGAATACGACGTCGACCTGATTTTTTCTTTTTCTCGAAAATGCTTTCAGGGTCTTCGTAATAACGTTTGACCCAACGCTGGGCTGCACGAACATGAATACCTAATTGTCTCGCAGCAGCAGAAGCATTTAGGCATTTACTAAAAAATAGATGAAAAAATCTAGTTTTCTCGTCATCAGAGTAAACTGTATAGCATCGCTTATTGCAGAACTCCATATCAACGTCTTCACTATTCCTTTCATATGCAGCTGGATGTATTGCTAGATGACGTCTTTCTGGAGGCTTATTCATTAGGAATTGAGTACGAGAACTTATTGTTTCAATAGCGAACAGCTCCTCATCAATAACAAGATCCATCGGCTCAACACCATGCTCATCAACAACGTGTCCGTCTTCGTAAAAAAATTGTATACTCATTTAAATGTCTGTTAAAAAAAAAAACTGCAAATTGGAACAGGATAGAAAAAAAAGTTAGGCCGTCGCTTCCCTTTATATACAACCAAGAATTTTATATGGTAACTAGTTGGACCCGTGATCTTAAAGATCACGATAAGGCATTAGCTTTGTCTTCTGGCGTGTTTTTTGCGATAAAAGTGTTTGCTCATGTTGTGTGGTGGTTGGTTTGGTCTGCACCCACCAAAGGTCGCCTGCT